CAAGTTCTTCCAGAGGGAATACAACCAAGTGTCCGAGGAAGGCTTTGTCTGCTCTCCGCTTGAAAAGTTCGTCATCTTAACTGGATTTGTGATGGAGCTGGATGGAGGAGGGGTGCTCCGGATGAGGAAACACAAGTCACGAAGGTACATGCTCACAACCATGGGCTTGGGCATGGGCTGGTTATTTTGACTTGTCCTGCAGGCGCAACCAAGTGTTGGTTGCTGTGGCACACAACTAGGAAGCTCAGTTTGCCTGGGAATGAGCAATGTTTCTGGTCTAACCTGACTATATGAGTGGGCTCAAGTGCAGTCGGCCTTTGCTAAAACAATCCGCACAATGTGTGAGCTGGGCGTCTACAATGGAAAAAAGGCAGTCCATACACTACTTTGTCATTGTGAAGGTAGCCCATAGGCCATAAGCCATCCATATAGTTATGGTCGGTCCATATGAAAAAAAAATAACATTGTTTATTATGTCTCTCGCTCACTTGTAACGTCTCTCCTGTAGCCTTGCACTCCCTTCTCTCTTTACACCGCCATTGTTTGCCTAGGCCACTCATAATGCAAAAACTATCATAGTTTCTATATGCATTAATTATCCTGTCACCTTAAGTATGTTGCTGATGTGGCAAGCGATTTATCGAGGAGAGAGGAGGAAATGGTTTCTTAGGGCCTATTTAGATGAGTTTCAGATTCTTAAAAAATCAATTTTTTCCTCTAGTTTCTAAAATTTGGATTATAAGCAAAAACTAGTGGGGGTGTTTGGATCCCCCAGTTTTTAAGAATCTGGCTTCATTTATTGCTTGTTGGTGGTCATCAAACACTAACGATGCGAAGCTTTTTTTAAGAATTTGGCCGTCGCTATTACACAAGAAAGCCACTTGTGTTTCCGCCTGTTTGGATTCCATGAACACAAAAGCGATTCTTAAAAGATGGAGGATACTCCTAGAAAAACAAGCTTGATATTGGAAAAAACCATGTCTATACGATGAACCAAGATAATGAAGAGATATGATTTTTATGGATGAAGATAGGAGAGAAGATGTGTGATTGGATAAAAGATTATGTTGTAGAAACTATCCATTAGAAACGTTAATTTCTATATGTACATTCATAGAAACTATACATGGTTTCTAGCATTGGGAGTGCCCTAAATGGCTAATTAGTTTGTTTGCACAGTATTTAAACGCTACATAATGATGCACCGCTTTCGTTTAATCAGCTGTTTCTACCATTTAAACATTTATTCTACCCATTTAGAGGTTAATTTAGCCTCAATAATGGCTCCTCAATGTCCTCCCTTGACTTTAGTCGCCTTCTCCTCCTCTCGCTGGTGGGATAACATTGAACCCATGGCATGCGGGTACGCAGGTCGCCGGTGTGTGGTATTGTGCACCCGCATCGCACCCGCCGCTTGCCAGATCAAAATCTGCACCCGGATCCTAGTGCTCAGGGGCCCTTGCAGACGGGTAGAAAATTCATTCCATACCACGTTTGACGGGTAATTCTTACCCGACAATATACCCGGAGTTCACACACTAAAATATAATACGGGCTTAGCTCCCGCCAAAACAAATCAACAATAGATGCAAAAAAATGTAAATATGGGTGGTGGTGGTGGAGTGAGTGAGGATGAGGATTAGGGTTTGAGGGAGGCGTTGGAATATATACACGAATACGCTTATATGGGCCAAATATGGGCTATATTCTTATATGGGCTAAAATTAGAGAGGTTGGATATTATTTATGAGGTTTTTTATCCGGGTATGGGTAGTATACACCACACACATTGAATAATATACCCGATGGGTACAAAAATCGTAGGATTAGATGGACACTAGCCATAGCCAAACGTACGTGCGGGTGCAAAATGTCTTCCATACCCGCCTCCTTCCCGGGTAAAACGAGGCGGGTATTCGGGCACGCGGTGGGTGCCGGAGTTGCCATCTTGAAACCCAGCAGAGGAAGACGAGAATACACTGCAGAGCTGGGGTAGTTGGGCAATTTCAATGTAAAGATTAGATTACTTTAGCCAAAGATGTGGAAATGGTCAAACAAGCTTTGTGCCTCACATTCAGTATATATACTAGTGGAGTATCTGTGTATTGCAATGGGACAACATAATTATGTATAAGTAATAATATATTTAGACAATAATATGTATTACGGTGGTCGTTCTTTTGTCACAGCACACTATTGCTAGACAAGTAGTCGTTTAGGGTGGTACGTTGTTTTTTTAATCGTCAATACGATGCCACATGCACTTCTGAAATGTTTTCTATCACTTAACCTTGGGCAAAATATGAGCTCCGCGCTCTTGTGATACATCAATTTATAAAATGCATTAATCTAAAACAAAATTTAATGCACTAGTAGACTAATATTTATTCACAAATAGATTGCCAAACTAAAACAAATAAAGGGAACTTGTAATAATCAGCATGTGCTTCTTTCAAACGCATTTTGATAACATATTATTTTCTTGCCGGATGGTTAACATCATCCACAAACCAGCATGCCGACAAAACCAGCACGTAGAGCTTGTTGTAAGTAGATGAAAATAGAATATATACATACAAGATAGGGGAAAGTATTCTTTATTCTCTGAAAATTAGTGATGATAACATAGAGCTCCCCCTATCTTGTTTAAGTGTTTGATAAGAGTCCATATCATAGACCAACTAATCGATCACTAATCATTTCGTGGTTACAGAATCCACGACAATGACACATGATGCACATCATATGGATCAATGGACCCACTCCGTAACTAACAATGAGCAAATGCATCGAGACAGCCTGTGTAGTTGTGTCCGTGGGCAATGGACCAGGTGCTACGCGAAAGATGGAGGCCCCAAGGGCCAATGGTGGTGGGGGGTGGGGGTGAAGTGTTGAACCCCCTGGTCGCCCAACTCCCCTGGAGGCCAAAGTACCATAGCAGCCATGTTCCCGGAATGTTGGGGTCGTGGTATGGGAACACGGTACGTGGTACGTTGTTTCTTAAATCCATGGGACGAAGAGGGTATACAGCTTGATCCTGTTCCTTCGATTAATGGAACGCGTACCACATGGTAAATGGAACGTGTTTCCTAAACGATGAACATGATCCTAATTAGATTAGTTGATATCATGAACATAAGACTTAGAAAGTTCTAAAATAATAAAGATAAAATAGATAATTGAACTTCTCATGTGGCCTCTCCTCTTTTTTTCTTCCATCAAATGAATTTTGGACCCCACGTTCCATCGGTGTTCCCATGGTGTGGATCGCGTTCCATTAGTGTTCGGAACGATGTTCCATCATGTTCCCGTTCCACGAATCGGGACAATGTTCCCGGAACGGGAATGTAGGCCAGGTTCCCGTTCCCAGGCTGCTAAGGGCCAAACAGCCTCAGTCTTCTCCACATGCAAGAAAACAAACTTTTGACCACTTGTATGTGTTGGATGAATGTCGATTTGATCCGAGGTCATCAGATTGATCTCCATGGATTAAATGACCCACCTCCTCACTCTCTCTAGGCTATAAATAGGAGGTGCCCTTCTCACTTTCACTTGTAACACACAACACAACACTCAAGAAGTTCTCCATTTCTACTCTGTATCTTTTCCATGTACGACTTTGGGTATTTAATAGATATATCTTCTATACATTGTGCTGAAAAACCACCGAAGCAAAGTACATGATAAAAATTCATCCATCATTGTTATTAGGAGCTACTTATGAAAAAAAATTCTCTATCGCTCCTCATGGATCAAGATACCTAGGGTTAGTGAAATTCTTAAAGCCTGTTGGACTTTCAAGACATACACTAACGATGCAGAATGTTTTCCACCACATAGAATTTGGTCCGTCGCTATTACCAGCAGCCACTAGTGTTTCCGCCTTTCTCAAACTCTATGAACACATTAAAGGACTTAGAAAGATTACTCCTAGAAAAACAAGCTTGATATTGGAAAAGATGATGTCTTATTGTTTTTATGGATGAAGATAAAGAAGATGCCTTATTATTACTCCAAGCGAGTGGATTTTTGATAAAAGACAAATTTATTAGCAGCAGTGAGCTGCAATGAAAGAGAATGAGTCATCAGATACAAATTGCATAGCTGTCAGCCTGTCATTGAGGGACAGCCGTTTGCATGAGAAGCATTACTGCACGAAATTTGCATTTGGGAACTAGTACTGATTGAATGTTTGGAAGCCTGAGAAGCTAGGACATGAGCCATAGTATTCAGCCTTCGATGGATCTTGAAAATTGTTGCAGCATTCTGTGTAGAATAATGAATGAAGGCTTGAGTAAAGCGCTTGACTTCCCAATGCGGTGGATTGGTGTGGTCATTGCTGTTGAAGAACGTCACAAGCTGCTAATTGTCCGACAAAAAATATCGGAGAATGGATGCCTAGTTATAAGGCTAAACGCCAAGGCAGCAGCTTCGGCCATTAACAACGAGGCTGATTCGTTGAGTATAGCATTGATATAGATTGCCCAAGACATGTTTGGTTCAGTGTTTAGGAAGAACACTCCCAAACCAGCTTGTTTTAGTGGATGCATCTGTATAGCATCTTGTGACAGCTAATAACTCCTGATGCATCTGCACTTAAACTCCTTTCATTAAGTGTACCTGCCAAGCGAGTGGATTGGCTTCTCCAGGATTTGGCTACGTATCCTACGATCGGATGCATTGTTCACCAAATCATCACCGGCATGCATGGGTTCGACGTTCGTGGCAATTTTCTCCCCAAAAAATTGACCTCCCTCGTGCCTCTCAACTTAAATCTTGCCCAAATTTCAGCCAATTACTAGTAATTGTTTTACGAAGGAGATGAGGAACTAGAACTATAACTAGAATTGCATATTTGATATTTCAATAACGACGGATCACTTCTCAAGTCCTGAATTACTTACTCGTAATTATATAATTACTACTAACAAAAGGAGCTGCTCTAGATCGACGCCGCGCCAAAAAGGGTCCAACACCGGCGCCGCCGTCTCGTCTCGTCTCTAGACGCAGAAGCATCCACCGCCGTAGTAGTACTTGCCGTCATCCTTCCCCTTCACCTGCTCGCCGACCTTCCTGACCGTGACCGTCGTGGCGGGCGCGCACGGCGTCCACTCGGCCGCCATCCTGACCCTGGCCCACCACCCGCCACCACCCTTGCGCTTCCTCCTCGCCATCACCGCCGCCGCGGCGGCCTCGTCGGCCAGGCGGCGGTTCTCGGCGCGGAGCCTCTGGATCTCAGCGCCCGCCACCCTGCGCTCGGCCTCCCATGCCGCCATGGCCTCGTAGCACTCGCGGTTACGGAGCTCCAGCCCGTACACCTGCGCCTGGAGCGCCTCGATCTTGCGTCCCAGCATGCACACGCGGTGGTCCTCGCGGAGCTTGACCACGAGGCGGGCCATCTCCGCGGCGCGGCGGCGCGCGTAGCCCAGCTCGGCGACGGCCGCCGCGGCCTCGTCCTCGGCCGCCGACGCGCAGAACCCCAGGCGCGCGTTCTCGCCCAGCAGGACCAGACGCTCCGACTCCAGCACCTCCACCAGGCTCCCCTGCAGCTCGACCTTGCGCGCCGACTCCGCCGCGCGTCGCGACGCCTCGTCCGCCAGCACGTCGCGCTCCACCCACGCGGCCACCAGCTCCGCCACCACCAGCTCGGCCTCGGCAGTGGTGCTGCTGCCGCTGCTGACCCCGGCACCCGGCGGGTGCTGGTACGAGAGCGAGCTGTCGGCGTCGTCGGAGCAGCGGTCGTCCACATCCGAGGAGCCGCAGTCGGAGACGGCGGGCGCCGGCAGCGAGGAGTGGTGCTTGTGGTGGAGGGTGGACAGCGACTGGGAGTAGCGGTCGGCCAGGCAGAGGTAGCGGCGGTGGAGGTCGCTGAGGAGGGACAGCAGCTGCGGCCGCTTGTGGTAGTAGTTCTCGGCGCGCTCGGCGAAGGAGTGCTCCGTGGGCGGCGCCTCGTCCACCGCCAGCGCGCGCACCCGCTGCTCGATGTCTGCAAGCAATTTTTTCAGAATCAAATTCAGAAGGCAAAGGAACCATTCGTCAGTTTCAGTAGGAATGTTTGACAAGAAAAAAAAATCACTAGGAATATTACTACGACCCATGGACTAGTTAAGACAATTAAAAAAAACCAAATGTTGCTAGTAATGTCAATGATGAGGTAAACCAACGTCACTGCCACCACATGTTATTATGATCAGAATAGTTAAACAGAAATGGGCACAGCAAACTTATAAATTTCAATGGTAATGATCAGAATAGTTCGTTTTTTTTTTAACAAAAAAAAGAAATGTTCAGGACAGTTGGTTGTAAGTTGTAATTACCCGTACGTATATTTGAATTTTTTTTTGAACGTACTGTATTTGAATTGAAACATACAAAAGATGAGTGAGTGGGAGGGCGATATGATATCTCTGTCCTGCCAACCTTTGGCCCAGCATTGACACGACGAGAGGTTGTACTACTTTAATTCAGGGGATTTGTCTGTTTTTACTGTACTTGGAATGATTGTTAGACACCTTTTGCTCCTCCTCCTCCTACTCCTCAGTACCAGCAGACAGCAGTAGCCATGCGGCTCGATTCAAACTTTGGCCTTGTTTAGATACACTCAAAATTCCAAGTTTTTTCACTCTCTCTCTATCACATCAATTTTTAGCCGTTTGTATGAAGCATTAAATGTAGGTAAAAAAAATAACTAATTGCACAGTTTAGTTGAAAATCACGAGATGAATCTTTTGAGTTTAGTTAGTCCACAATTAGACAATATTTATCAAATAAGACGAAAGTGCTACTATTCATCGGGTTGAAATTTTTTTCAATCTAAACAAGGCCTTTGAAAATGAAGCGCTGCAGCAGGCAAGATGAAAAGCCTACGTAATGCCATGCCAGGTACAGTAGCTACTCCTACTCCGTACCATGGTGCGTGACTGCATGGGCATAGGCGTGAGGCCATGGAATACTATATACTTGTTGGTAGCTAGGCAGCTCATCTAGGTAGAAAGAGGTCCGGGAATCCTGTACGTCATGAATGCGCATCATCAAAAATTCAAAGGACGCCCGTGACCTCGTTTCCTGGTGATCAGTGCTATAGTCACAAGCGTCCATGCTCCTTGTTCCACTCCACTTGTTTTCGCATGCAGAAGCAGAACGAACTCTTCCATGGCCACGATGGAAGGAGTAACAACTACTGCTACCTTGGTAGTAGGAGTGGGATTTAAACAGCGCAACTGTGCAAGCAAAATCTACCGCGGCAATTAATTGCAAATGTTAAGTTCTTGCAATGTTAGAACTGCATGGAGACAGCAGCAGCACAGGAGGATCGATGCAGTGCAGGATAAGGAAAAGAGAGGGAGGGTACTAGGGTAGAAATTAAGCAAGCAAACAGACCTGCAATAGCCGCTTGGAGCCAAGGCGGGCGCGTGGGCGAGCGGCAGCTCATCACACCCACAGGCGCCGACGCCGATTCCGCCTGCTCCGACTCCGTGTAGGAGCAGCCGCCTGCCTGCTGCATGCAATGCAATGCAAGCAGAGACGCTGACGGGATTCGATTCCTGCGACGCGGTGCAGGTCAAGCAGGAGCAGCCACCGCCCGCTGTGACGCTCGCTGCCCTTCTCCTTCTCGTGCTCCGCTCTGCCTGTGCCCCCCGTGTCAGCAGCAGCAGCAGCAGCTGACCTCGTCCCTTTGCTTGGACCCCGGACGATGCCACCTGACACAAGCCACAGCCGGATAGGTAAGCAAGCAATCTCACAGCTACTACTAGTGTCCTGTACTATCGGTATGCTGTACTGTGCGTACGTATGTAACACGTATAAAATACCAGTGAGAGAGAAAACATTCGACTGTAGCGTCCTGTGCAACGTTGGAACTTGAGACACTAATAGTCTAAAGGCTACGGCCACAAGACCAAAGAGTAGACACGGTACCAACACGTCACGGCAAGCGAGGCGTGCTCACCCGTGAGATGGACGTGCCCTTGCAGGGAACACGAGGATGGAGTACGATCGATAAATAAAAGGCCGACGTGACCGGACGTCCTGCTGATGCCGTGCCGGTACGGTCCCGGCCTCCCGTCGGCTCTCCGTGACCACCACTAGTCCACTACTGCTGTGCCCGGTAGACGGTGGTAAAAACCTCCCATGCCTTGCGAGTGGGGGCCGGCGTGTTGGAGTCAGTGTGCGTGTTTCCTGCGGTGAAAAAAAAATGCGTGTCCTTGCATTGGCGGGGAGCATTTCAAATGGATGGCTTGGTACTTTGGTAGGTTCACCATAACCCAACCAACAGCAATAAAAGAGATACTTCCGTAGGCCTTGTTCACTAAATTTTAAGTTTTTTCACTCTCTCTTCGTCATATCAATTTTTAGCCGTTTACATAGAGTATTAAATGTAGATAAAAAAAATAATTAATCATACAGTTTAGTTGAAAATCACGAGATAAATCTTTTGAGCCTAGTTGATCCACGATTAGACAATATTTATCAAATAAGACGAAAGTGGTACTATTCATCGGGTTGAAAAAATTTATAAAGTGAACAAGGCCCTACTCTTTTTATTACTGTGGCTGAGGAAGATACTGTATGTAAAAAACATCTAGCGATCCGGGAGAGAAAATATATCATCGGGTCGGGGAGTAGCTAACGGCTGGCTCTGCCAAACAAAATAAATAAACACCATGTCCATGTCCTCTACGAGCTGGAGTAGTGACTGAGGTGGTGTTTAAATTAATGGTCTAAAGTTAAGAGATATCATATTGAAACGTCGTACGAGAGTGTTTAAATAGTAATAATAAAATAAATTATAAAAATCTTCGATAATCTACGAGATAAATTTATTAATCCCAATTAATTCATCATCAGCACATATATTACTGTAGCACGCCGTTGTGGAATTATGACCTGATTTAAAAATTCGTCTCGTAAATCAGTCACAATCTAGATAATTAGTTATTTTTTAATAAATATTTAATTCTCCGTGCATACGTCTAAATACGTGACGTGAGAGTGAATAAACTTTACGGAGAGAAGCTAAGCAAGGCCTGAGCGGGCGGGGCAGCGGCATTCAGCATGTCCAAGTACTACTACTGCAGAGCACTGCAATTTTCATGCTCTAATAATTACTGTCCTCTTAGTACCTCCTACTCCTACACAGAGTTTTTACTGCACTACTGCTAGCAGATTCTACCTGCACCCCAGCCCCCCTGTAAAGAATAGTAATAATCCCCGTGGAAAATGAAAAAAAAAAGTGATCCTCCTACCAATCTGCAAAACCATCAACAGCACTGTTTACACTGCCTGGTAATAGTAATAGATGGCTTGCGAGGCACACAGCTCAGCTCAGCTCAGCTCAGAGGTAAAACCTGCTACTGCTGTCCGCACACCAAGAACAAGAACATAGAAACAGATGATCCAAGAACTAGAAGAACAGAAGAAGAAAAAGAAACTCAAGAAACGCAGCTTAACTTAAAAGGACGCAACGCAATGCAACTCGATTTCAAAAAGGGAAGGATTGGCGGTCGGCGAAGCAAGAACAAGAGAGATGGAGAGATCGCTAGTCTGCCTGCAAGACTGCACATAAAGAGCAAAGGAGAGGGAGTAAACACACGAGGTAGGAGTAGATGGAGATGGACTTACGGCTCCGCAGTATTTTACAATGGAGGGGGCAGAGGCCAGCTATGGAGGGAGGAAGAGGAGAGGACTCCATTCCTTCTCCTCGCGAGGAAAGGAGCAGCAGCTGGGAATGGGAAGGAAGGAAGAAGAAGAGCAGCTCCTCGAGCACTTTTTTGATCTCTGTGTACTGTGGAGTGTGAAAAAGCTGACAAGAAGGCGTCCCTCCTCTGCTGCTGCCTGTACTACTGGAAAGACGAGACGAAGAGATGGGCCATCCCGCTACATGTACATCAGCGGGCGTCTAGCCGGAACACACTGCACCCAGCATGATTCCATGAGACCATGACCCACTGGCCAGTGGCCACTGCTGCGCTCGTGACTCGCGACCTCCAAGCCACGCGGTGCTGCGTCCCAATCCGTTCAGGTGCCCTGCACACCAGTGGAATGAACGGCCTGCAACGGAACTGGAGGACATGTGGTGCTGCTGTACACGGAGGCAATGCGATTTGATATAGTACTACATATGTATACATTAATAATTAATACACAACCTAACAAACCAACCAAATTCACCTGTTCCGATTGTTTAATGCGACATGGCAAACTCACACGACTTGATCCTGTTACCATTTGAAAGGCTCGCCGGGATCTCAAATTTATGGAGAATAAATAAATATAAATAATCTAATTTCATTTCCAGATCTACTACTGTAAAATATGATCAGACGAGCGGACAGAGGGCGGACAGAGGGCCTATATACCTACTGAACAACAACACACGCTACTGCAGGGCAACAATTACACATAAAGCTACGAAAAAAGCCACTTTACATCCAAAAAATCCAATCACTGGGTAGCCATCGCAGGATGTGCTAACTAACGTCTCAACACGAGTCTCGCAGTACCTATAAAAATGCCCAATGTCAGTCAGTCGAAAATCTGGGCAGAATGGTTCAGCATAGCCCACTTTATACTACTCTACTGCTATTTCTCTCCGGCACGAGCATCCCTACTGGTGGTTTCAGTCTTCACGTTATCATCAGCATCCGCCTCAGGCTCGCACTGCCCGCTTTCAGGGCCAGAGACCTCCCCTGGGCTCCGTTTCTGACTATCCTCCACCGCGCCGTTGTCAGAATCCACTGGCGCCGCCCCTTCTTCTGGATCGCCACCGCTGCCACCGCCGTCGGTTTCTGGTGTCGCGGCAACCTGCACAGAGGAGTCCATAGCAACAATGTAGACATGCCATTGTTGGTATTCTCAACAAGTTATGGTCAAGAAGATGGTGGAGGTACCTGCTGCTCTTTGGGTTGAGCTGACGCGCCTTTTGAATCTTCCCTTCTCGTCCGCTTAACCTTTTCGGCAGGCTTAGAAGAAAACCTGGCATTTACTTCAGGTGGCAGGAGTTCTGAAGGTACAACTCCTTCGATCCCGTAGTCTGAAAACTGAAATGGAAATGGTGATCAATATCCATATTCATTCAATCTTTCACCCTACTAGCACTCAAGAATGAAACAATTACATTGTAAAGCTTCACATACCCGGGCAAATCCATCCAAGTCCTGCCTGGCTGAAAACCGTAGTCCTTTCCAGCAGTACACCTGTCACACAAAAGCTGCTCTTAGACCAATCTACTACCTATATGAAAATCAAACATGTAATGCTACTTCCCCAAAATCCAGTGCCCATGAAAAAATGGCCTCTTCTAAACTCTTTTCAATGTGCCTGGAGCCATCATAGTTTCCAAGGACATGGGCAGTATGTGCAAGTAGGATCAGGCCATCAGGAGGTTGTTTCAATGTTATATTAGTTGAAGGTAAATGTTCCTATTTCAACATTTATCCAAACATGCAAGCACAATACTGCTTTTATGGGAGTATACTCCACGAAAAGGTAATAAAAAACTAAGTGTCGATAAGACAATAAGTTCCAGCAGCTGTGTCTAACAAGACATCAATATTTTCAATAGCACTTAATTATAACAGCAGTCCAAGCTAAGGCTCTTCATGGAGAGCTCTGACAATTTGAACATAATTAGCTAGCAGGGTCCACCTGATCAACTCAATAGAAAGCTCGAGAAATACTTCCCATCGAGTAAATAATTTCCAAAAAAGAACAGTAATCGAGTGATTAGCATAGCTGAAATCAAACTTACCCGATTAGTTTTGTGGTGGTACTCCTCTTCAATTCCAGCAGATGGATCCATCTGCGTGTTAAGATAGGTACAACTGTAATTACAAGACTGTTTAAAACTTCGTTTACAGCAAAAGGATGAATGGTCAAAGTGCAAAAATAGCCATCAAGGTCGGTGCCATGTAACTTTCTATTAAAAAAAGATGCAAGAAAGCCAAAGTGCTTACATCTTCTGCAAGTGGTTTCCAATATTCCGTAATTGATGGCATGCGGACACGGTCAGGATCAGTCAAAACATTCTACAGCTCCAATAAAGATGTGAGTGGTTAGATTAAATGAAAGAAAATTGTACGACAGAAATAACCAGTAAAAGAATACAGAAGAAAAGAAGTAGCAATGCTCATAACTAAGGGAGAAGGGCCCTATA